GAAAAAAAGTCGCTAGGGGGTCTCAAAACTCGCTAAATATAGCGACAAAGTCGCTAAGTTGGCAACACTGCACTCGTCACTCAGACTAACAAAACTCCACATTTTCACCACTAGGAGGTGCTAAAAGACCACATACAGTGAGATTATCACTAAATGTCTGCTGTGTCTGATGGTGACTTGGGTTTTTACTAACTGGCTGCATGAGCAGGATTAGCTGCAGTTCCATCTTTGTAAAAGAGACTCAGCAGCAGATTAGAACCAAAACAGAAACATTTCTACTTTTTCTGCAGCACTAGCTGAATGCATGGAGCCTAAAATCCAGTGACAATGAGACACATACAGTGTGACTGCTGCGACTTTACAGCTGGGCCTCATTCACTGACATTAGTCAGATATGACTGAATCTATATCATATTTAAAGCTTTCTGTAAATGAAAGAATCAGTGAAAACCAGGCACTTCAGTCCATTTTAAACACAAACTCTGAACATAACCTGATCCAGACCAGGTTATAGGTTCAGCATCAGTAACCACGGTGATGTAGCCAGGTGTCCTGCAGGTTTTAGATCTCACCTTGGGTCAGATCACATGATTAGTTCATTACCAGGCCTCTGGAGAACTTCAGGACATGTTGAGGAGGAATTTAACCATTTAAATCAGATGTGATGGATCAAGGAAACATCTAAGACCTGCAGGACACCGGCCCTCGAGGCCTGGAGTTTGTCACCTGTGGCCTAGAGGAAGTATATAAAGCAAAAAGAGAATCTGACCTAAAACAAAACCTTGAGGTACCCCAGAAGGCAGAACTGATGTTTCAGACAACACATGTTTCATACAGACAGTCAAAGATGTCTCAGATAGATACGACTGAAACCATTTTAAAGCAACACCAGTAATCCTGAACAAGTCCTTCAGCCTATTTATCATGATGCTGTGATCAAAAGTATCAAAAGCAGAGGTGAGATCCAACTTGGTGCACTCTCCAGAGCCTGCTGCCATCAGATTGTCACCACACACTTTAAGTTAATTCATTTCAGTGGAGGACAGTTTACAGAAACCAGACTCGAAAATGTCCAGAGCTTTGTTTTTCTCCAGAAAGTCGTTAAGTTGTTCTGCAACTGTTTTTTTCCAAGATCTTTGACACCAATGGTCATTTTGATATTGGCCTGTAACTGCTTGGAAGAGATGGGTCTAAATTTGGTTTCTTTAATAATGGTTCAACGACAGCTTGTTCAAAACCGAGCCAGTATAAAGACAAAATAGAGAAATATTAGAGTTGATGGCAGCGACCTTATTTACAAAATAGTTCAAAGATTCATTACAATCAGATTTAGTATAGACTGGTACACGAGGAATATCAGGAGAGAAAATTTTCATAATTGTATCAAACAATACTTTGGGATTGTTCTTTTTTTGAAGCTATTAGATTTGAAAAATACTCAGTTCCAGCTTTTTTTATCATGTCGTTAAGTGACGATATTGATTCCTTGAGATGTACTCGATGAACCTCAACCTTGGAAGCCTTCCATAAATTTTCTAACTTGACAGAATATCTCCTGAAATTTTGAGTATTTTCATTTATCCAGGGACAGAAATTTGAAGAATGGACAACACTTTGCTTCAGAGGTGCCGCTGTATCTAAATAAAATGGACAAAGTGTTGTCTCCAGGAGTGTAGCTGATTTAGAGTGGCCAGGTACGGTGGGTGTGCTCCGGTTAAAGAACACGGAGGCAGACTTCCAAGTTCAGCTGATTTATTCGGTCTGTAGTGATGATACAGTCACCTGACCTGAACCCAGTGGAGATGGTTTGGGATCAGTGTTGGGCAAGTGACTTTGAACAAGTAATTATAGTTATTTCTTAGTAACTAGTAACCAGTGTTGGGTGTAATGCGTTACTAAGTAATGCATTACTGTAATTAAATTACTTTTCCACTGAAAAAGTAGAGTAACTAATTACTGTTCATTTTTAGGTATTTTAATTACAGTAACTTACAATGTACTTGCGTTACATTATAAAATAATTAAACTTGCTGAATATCATTATTTAATTTCAATAATTTATCTTCTAAATGTAGAAGTAAACTCTGCCGCTTTAACATCGCTGTAGTGCAGCTGCACGTCATTTCTCGCCAGTTTGCTGCATAGTCGTATTCTAAAGCGGAAGCTGTCGGACTCGGATGAAGCGAGTGGCTTTTTTATGAAATCTTCACTTTTCTGAAACAAGCAGACGAGAACATTACAGTAATATGTAAGCTATGTCCTGGGGAGGAAAAACTATCGGCTGCTGTTAATAGCACAAGTAACCTACTGAAGCGCCTGACACGAGAGCATAGACGAACACTTCTGAGTGATCCTTGTTCATCATCCATGGATAACACCGCGGCAACTCCTGCTAAGCAGCAAAACCTGATTTTACTTCAGCAGCACAGAAAGGGTCTGAAGGTGAGCTTAAAAAAATGATTGCAGGCTACATTGTGGAAGAGATGCTACCGCTGCGTACTGTAGAGTCTCTGTCTTTAAAAAATGTATTTGTTATTTAAAGAGTTTAATTTCTATTGTTAGTCCACTCAAGGTTTATAGGGATCTTAAGAAGTATTTAGTTAAATTCCTTATTTAGTAATTAAGTTACTTTTCAGACACAGAAAGTGGATAAATATTTTAAATACAATATTGACTGAGTAATTAGTAATTAATTACTTTTTAAAAGTAATTAATAATAATTAATAATTACTGTTACAACCACAAACATGTTTAAAGGTGAATTTTAATAATAATAATGGATTGCATTTATATAGCGCTTTTCAAGGCACCCAAAGCGCTTTACAATTCCACTATTCATTCACTCTCACATTCACACACTGGTGGAGGCAGCTACAGTTGTAGCCACAGCTGCCCTGGGGCAGACTGACAGAAGCAAGGCTGCCATATCGCGCCATCGGCCCCTCTGGCCATCACCAGTAAGTGGTAGGTGAAGTGTCTTGCCCAAGGACAACAAATACTATTAAAAAATAAAACCCTGAGTGATACATTGAAGAATAGAGTATTGGCTACTTATAAATTTGTTCAAAAGTAGATAAAAATTTTAAATTGTGTCAAGTCTGTAGACAAAAATAAAAATAAAGTTCATGTTGTAATACATTTTTTTAGAAATCTGAATAATTCAGTTCGTCCTCCAACGTTACCTAAAGCTCTGCAACTTTGGCTTCTCTTTTAACTTGATGAACTTAATTAAAAATCGTAATTGTAATTAATTAATTAAAATTAATTAAAAACATCGAAAGTTAAGTCCAGGGCATAAATATTAGGTATCTGCTGTTAGATCCAGTGAAATAAGTTAGAAATATTAAACCAAAGAGATGTTCATTTATTAGAGCTCAGACTTTACTCGTACTGCAGAGCTGAGGCTAGAGCAGTAGCGGTTTTAGATACGGGCGACACGGGCGGTTGCCCGGGGCGGTTGCCCGGGGTGGCATCACCGGCATCGGCAAAAAAAAATAAATGCTCGTACTCATGCTGCCCCGACGTCAGCCAGCGCATATTGGGAATGGCAGAAGCACCGATCGGTTTTCTATCGCCCATTTGCTCGGAGTAAGGCGCCCTGCTGCTTGCGGCACAGGGAGGAGAGGGCGGGGCGGCGGGGGATTTTCTGACCGGCTGGAGCAGCATCTAATAACCAGCTCGCAAAATAAAACAAAATAAAAACAAACCAACAAACACGAAAACACCAGACATCGTGATACAGACTTATAATTTGCACCGATGTTTTTTCGAAATTCTATACACGAAAAGTGAGCGCGAGAGCCCTCGGTGCGCCTGTTCGCTGCTGAAGTCAAAGTAAACTTTATTGTCATCTTCGCTACAGTCCAGTATATAGAGAGACGAGACGACGAGGCTCCAGTTACAGCAGTGCAAATAAACAAACAATAAATATAAGAAGAGTAAGAAAATAAATACACACTTTAGGACTCGGGGCAAAGGGATCAATAACAATTTAAAATTTAAAATTTACAGTTTGATGATTTCAATTCTCACACACAAGCCGGCGAAAGGGGAGTGGCCGGCTGCTTCCAAATAGAGCACATTTCATTTATAATGTTGTAAATCCAAGCTCATTATGTATTCATGATCTGAATCCTGGGTTGTGTGAAATCTCAGAAATGCACCTTAGACAAAGTGAATCTGTGAACTAAGGTGTTGGTCTGTTAGGTTATGTTGTGGTGATCCTTGGGTTGAGGGATGGGTGTTCATACTGGAGTGCAAAATTAAAACCAATGGAAGATGGACAAGAAAAGTTCAAAGCCATCAGGTCCTAAGTTTAGAAAAATGAGAAAAGAAGAGGAGGAGAAGCGAGCAAAAGATGCAGGTAAGCAGATGTGTGATTGGATAATGGCAGGTCATCCTGAAACAATCAGAATCAGAAGACTTTATTAATCACTAAGGAAATTATGTTGATTACAGCTGCTCCAAGAAGAAATGGTAAAAATAGCAACAGTAACAGACTAAACTCCAAACAATACATTATATTACAGATTTTAATATTAATTAGTCA